GCGGTATGAGAAAATATTATTTGCTTGTGTGATGAAAACAAAACATTATTTCTGTAGGAGATTTTTTTCCTCCAGTCCTCCCTTTGCGGTTATGGGAAGATGAGAGCAAATCCATGGCACGATAAAACTATGTGATCCATGAAAATATGTGACTCCAAAGAAAGTCGAAATTCTCAAAAGACGGGGTGGCATTGCAAATAAATGGGTGGTGGGAGAATTTTCAATTTATCAAAGTGTTTCCAAGAGATTCTTGTGTGTTTCACTCTGTGGGGAGGAAAAAGGAAATCAATACTTTCACTCCACTCCTCTGCAGACATCTCGCTCTCTCGTGTGGTGGAAAGAGGGAAAAGTGTGCGGAATTATTAGTGGGCACCCAGGATGAGCTATAAATTGCAATTAGGATTGAATTTTCTCCGAACTCTCTTATGAGTGTGGGGTTTTTGCTCAGTTCTCGCCAGGAGATGAGAGAGATATTTTTCCAAGAAATAAATATATTCATGTGAAAATGCAGAAAGGATGTGCAGAAAAATATTTCATGAGATTGACTCGTGTATTGAATGTTAAATTTTCTCAGCGTCAATTCTGCGCTCTGGGATTTGTTTGTACTCATTCAATCGAGAGGAATATTTTTTCAATGTCGAATCCTTCAGGAACCAAACAGTGGCTGACGTAAATATTGTCGGCTATATAGTTAGATGTCGCATTTAGCACCACCAAAAAAGAGAGAGATGGTTTTAGTGCAGAGATTCATTTGATAAGCAAGCAAGGAGATTCGAGCAGTTCCAAATGTTCTTGCCAGGCACTGTTGGTAAGAAAACAAGTGAACCATAGAGAGACTCCCTTCTGTTTGTTGAATTTTTCCATCGAACAAATATCTCGATGCTGAATTCATTTCTCCACACATTCACCCAAGCAATAATACACTTTTGTGTGTGATAAATCCGTAAGGGGATTTAATCACTAAAGTAAATTTATATACTGCCGAGCGAGGAAAAAAAAACTTTCCTTACACATAACTTATGGCATCGTCGGGACCCAAGATTTATATTTAGAAGGCTCGGCGGGGGCGAAAAAAGCACATTGCAGGGGAAAAAGAACGGCTAAATAAACGATTCTGTGTGGGAAGTGAATTTAAGGGTGCCGAGAATGATGAGAGAAAGGAGTTCATTTTTCCGTCACCCTGAGCCGCTGATACTTGAGCTGTTGTAAAATTTAAAAGAATGCTCAAGCACTCACCCTTGTGTGGTTAATCTGGAGAATGGAAGAAGCCAAAAGCCACTCCAATTGCACGGCCATACACCTTCTTTGTCATCCTGCTAAGCTTTTCGCCAAATCTGCCCGTAATCAAAAGCTCAAGTGCGGTGCTTGCAGTTCTGAGCGGTGGGAGAAAAGGACGAAACACGACCGAAAAGCTCCGTGTCAAAATAATGAGAATGAGTTGGAAGGAAAAAATATGCTTTCGCTGCACATGCAAAGACGAGTCCCTCTGGGTGGTTGCAAATGAATGGGATTCACGAGGTGCTCCGGAATAAGCTTGTGTCAGCGCAATTTTGAATTTATGCATCCTTGTCATCCTCACGAGAGACGCCATAGCAATTTAATGAACTTTCTGTGGTAATTACTTTTTTTGCAAATTACGTTGACTCTCCATGGCAATAATTAAAAATCCCTAATTGTTGTCTTATTTGCCTACCAACTGGATGATCAAAAGACATTTCATGTGTGTAATGATCGGTTCAGCGTGTGTCTCTCCTCCAAGTCAAAGCCTTTGACATTTAAATCCCTCCCCAAACCATCGCAAACACATGGTTTGATTTTAATTTTGGTAAAGCCCATGACAGATTACAGATTGTAATGAGTCACTTGAGACGCATCAAGAGTCTAAGATGGGACACTCGGAATTTAATTACATCTTTATATGCTTGTCTGGGTGACATGTACCCAAAATCCACCTCGAAGCTATCTGGCAATTTGTGAAACATTCTGTCGCTCCAATGGTTTGCATCTCTTCAAATGAAAATTTCACGTTCTCTCCTCTGCGGGGATTATTGCTCCTGCCAGCTTAAATCTCTCCGCTTTTCACTCAGTGCCTCTAAAAGGCTTCACCCAACACACATCCATATGTATGAGTTCAACAACAACACTATAATTTCTCAGTCACAAAAGCGAGGGAGGCTGAGAAACTTTTAAATTACACAGTTCAATTTCAAGATGAAATTTTCACAGCATAATAGGGGTGAAAATCAAAACCATTTAAACAGTTTGGCGTGGAAAATTGCAAAATGTCTGGGTGAAAAATTATTTGCTTCTCATAGAAAAATAACTAGCGAAATCGTATAATTTAGGAAGTTGGCAAAACAGCCCGGAGTTGCAGAAAAATCGGTATCTGTGCAAAAGTCAGAGCGACTACATGTGCAACTATAGAGGAGAACGGAGTAGTTTCAGGCAGTGTTTTTTTTAACGTAGTAACTAAATTTCATAGAATCAAAACTCTTGCGTGTATACACGTGTAGAAGTAATAGTTATAGTCTATTGCTTTCAGAAAACATCGTGTAGTTATTACGAAACATCATGTAACTGACTGAACAATTCAATTATCAATTAGACAAACTTTAAGTCGATATACATATTAAAAAAAATTGAAATTTTACGCACATCACAATTTCCTTTAGAAGAAATGTTTAGGATTCGAAACTACACCCATTCTGCCCTAAAATATTTATACTGAAAATTCAAGTTCATAAATAATGAATGAGGAAAAAGGAGTTTTTCCATTTGGCGAATGAAGTGGAAAACTTTCGCATGCATAACAATTTATTTTATAAAAGATTTCTCGGCTTTTTTTTTACATGCAGTCGCTGTGCCAGGCCAGGAAAATACACACGAAAAATTAACAACATTTCTCCATTATTTCAGCACATTTTCCCACATCGCATTGGTAAACATACACATGTGGGGTATATTCTCGCAAAAAGCATAATGAATGGTTAAATTTTAATTAAGTTATGTTCCAAGAAAACTTCACCCTCTCCACAGCGCCGGGGTTTGTGCGAGCGAATGCTCTCCGGCGGGAGGCCGGCGAGAGAGGGAAGCTCTGGGGAGGTGCGGTGCAGGTGAGTGCTTCCGAGGAGGGAAATTGGAGTGATGTAGCGCTGCTAGGGATTTTTTCTGTGCGCTGTTGATGGGCAAAAAGCCGGGAAGGCATTTATTTCATTGGCTAATTATTCCACAGGGAGCTTCCGGTTCCCCTGTTGATCAGCTGTGGGCATTCGATAGTGGCGAGTCCGCTGAGAAAAATCAAATTCATCAGTCTTCCTCTCAGAATTAATACCGATGCTTCATGGGGCGATGGGGTTTTCATCACCCATTTCACTCTGGTTCCATTTTGTTTTATTCCATCAATTATTATCCCCTCTGGGTATCCTTTCCATGAGATTTATTCGCTACGAAACCCATCCAAACATATTGCATTATGCTGTCGAGAGCAAATAAAGCTCTGCTGGAGCTTTCCTCTTCTGCAATATATTTATGATAGCATTATCATTGGGTCTGAGGCCGAACTACACGATTTAGTTGATTACATAAACACGAATTGAACACGTTTTCAGACCCAGGGTGGTGGCTTGATTGGCCTAGTGGATAATAAAACAATACGACTACTAAATCGTGTGTGAATTATACATCCATTTGCACGGGCCTACAAACTGATTACAGCCAACGATACTATAAAACGGAGCTCGAATTCCTGTTGCCAATTTCGTTGAATTCCGCCCGGATCACGTACAAGAAATCAATGCTTCATAATCATAATTTGATAAATCAATTTCGGTGTTGGGACATAAAATTCCGAGAGCGGCACACAATTTCCAGCACACCAATGTTCTGGGGTCGATAATCAATCAAAGAGATTGCCATGCTACGGAAATCAAACACTTTGTAGCCATAAAATGAGCTTTTGGGCGAAAATGATGCCAAACATCGCCCACCGGAGAGCTTATCAAAGTGAAACAGACAGGAAAAGCGTCCGTTTCGGCTTTTATGCGGTGGAAATGTTTCTTTGATTTTCCTCCAAATGAAAAGTCCGCTCAAAATTCGGGAAAATCACATTGTTAAAGTGATTAGAAGTGTGAAAAGAGAAAAATTTGCATTTTCTCTCTTCACCCTCTTTTCGTCTTCGTTCAACTTAACTTTCCTCATCTAATCAAACATCCGGCTGAAGGTGAACTTCTTCCTTCAGAGCTGATTAGTTAGTTTGTCTAATCATCCTGTCTCTGCGGATTAGGCTTCCGAAACCACTCAGGTATTCAGTGTGTGTCGTGTAAGCCTTTCTATCACCCGAACATTTTCTCATAGGAAGTTTTTCTTCCTGTTTTTTTTTCTGTCGCCCCACCATCGAATGTCTTAATATTTCCCGTTTTGACCCCCCAATCCGGAAGTAATCGCCAGACTGGCGTTGTGGCTTATCTGTTCACGTTCCTTCTAATTATCTCAGGTGACTGGTGGACTGTAAATCCTGTCTCAGACTCGGCAGATGTATCAAAAGAGGTCATCGGATATTTCTGCGCATTTCGGGGTGGGGGCTTCTCGGATTCGAGATGATGCGGGATTGATGCAGCAATTTGGGCGGCTCGTCGTCAGTTTCGCAGGTGACTTTCTTCCAGATTAGCACAGTTGCCAAATTTCGGAACTCATGCAAACACCATAGAGTTTCCAGTCCTGTGAGGGGAATTGGGAAGAGACTTCCAGTCTCTCGGTCGTATCCGTATACACATTGTGGCGATGAGTCGCCGTCTCGCGTCTCACTCGCTCTCTCGGGCTTCTCATGGCGGACTCGCTCCCTTTCTCTTTTGGGACTTGGCACAGTGTCGGTGAGCAGTGAGCTGTGTTGGATGAGTTCTGGGAGAAATGAAGAGAGACTCTGGTGGTGATAAACCGGTTTCATAGGTTTCCAGTTGTGAATTTTGTGCTCTCTGCTTTAGTTTACGTCAGCTTCTCCGCGGAAGATGTGTTGGTATAGCGTATCGATTGTTGAATTTGCTCGGGCCTGACTTGCTATATATATATATTCCTTTTGAAAGGACTCCTTAATCATGATTTAAAGCCTTCCTCCCGCATTGGCAGATAAGGTGTCCGTGAGTGTGATTGTCCCGTGAGCGGCGAGAAACGTGGCCTAGTGAGAAATACCGAGGATACCAGTGACGAGAAGGATTGTTTTTCCTTTCTAGTGTCTCAAGTGGTGTATCGCAGTTCGGTGTTCACATTTTCCCATTTGTTAACCACTCAAGGATGGTGATGTGAAATGATTCAAAAGTAAATATACACAATTTTTTTTCTTCATCTTCTCACACGATCTTTTTTCGGGATTAAATTGCAGCGTCTCATAAATTGAGGGTCGAGAGATTGGGTCTGGGGTAGCTCGTAATGTTCAGTGAGCAGTTTCCCAAATGGTCAATTAGTAGATGATGTTGAGACAAGGAAATATGAGACGCTTGTATGAAGATTTCTCCACACGACCGAGGCGAAATGCAACTATTTTTGCCACTATTGCTACTCTATTATTTACTTGCTTACCTGCTCTTCTCAAATAAACTGGTGAGACCGAAAGATGGTGAGTGGAAAGCATTACAGAAATTCTGTACCATCGACCTCGCCAGCATTTATGGTCTCTCTCTGCCGTGCAAAGAGTATTTTACATTTTATATTCTCAACTCCAGATTCCAGAAAGGTCTTGTATTTTATTGCCATTCGCGAGGCCAATACCGTCAACAGTTTAGCATCACTGCCAATACGTGTTCTACTGCTTGCAGTGTTTGTCTATTGCAGATGACTCGAGGGTGGGCTTCGCAGATCGCAATTGAACGTGATTTCCATGGGAGGATACTTAAGACGGGAATCCATAAAAGAATTGATGGGATTCGACACAGTGCTCTCATTTTTCACTATTATACTCTCCGCGGGATGTGTAATCCGACATTTGAGCACACGTGTAGAATGAACTCACAAATTGTCCTTCAAACATTATAGCATTCTCTACATACATAGAGAAAAGGCTACAATGTAATGTTTCCTTCTCTGGCTCACGTGAAATTTATATTCATGGGCGCGTGTCCCTTTCTTTCCTCACGCAGAGTTTAGCAACATTATCCCTCATTGTCGCAAATGACGATACTTTAGCAATCTTGCAATCATCGGAGATTGTCACAGCATGAATATTCATAAAAATCCTTATCAGTCACTCATTCGCATGTCTTTCAGCCTGTTTCACCCATTATTCATCCGAAAAACGTGCGCAACATTCGAGTAAACACGAGGACGACGAGGGTGTGTGTGGAGTGCTTCACCCCATCCCTCGCGGGTAGGAAAAATAACATATTGAAGAAGGTTCACTGCCGCTTTCAATTGCTCTCTGTCAATCACGGTGGAAATGAAGAGTGTCAGTTCAATTGTCCACTGTCGCTCCCATTCATTGATTTTGTGGTGAATTAATCGGGCTTCCTCAGGACTCTGTGCAATGCGAAACCTATAATTCAGCATTGTGGCGCTCTGTCAATATATTTCACGATTAAATAACCATTGGAGCTTTTATCAGCACGGGAACATCGAGTGGTGAGTGCAGAACTTGGCCGCCCCTCGGCGCAGTTGCAAGGCGTTCCGGCGATGCAATCGATCTCCACCTGTCGCTCACGAGACCGTGTGCCGGGCCAGAGATGCCGATGGCACCAATTAAGGGCCAACTGACCGAAACTTATAATCACTGTGTTTCCCTCCGCATCGCCTGTGAGGTGCTCTGGTGGTCTCATCGCTGCCCAAACTGTATCTCCTGCGGCCCCGTGTTTGCTTTTCCACACGCCGCGCCACGAAATGCACGTCAGCAGTTCAATTGAGTGGCTCTGTCGGTGAAATGTTTTCTGGGTGGCATTCCTTCCTCCGGATATCTTAAAGGCAATGTTTCCCCGGAGAAAGATATGAAGGCAATCTCAATGGTATCGGGTTTCATTTCAATTCGCATGAATGGAAGAGCAAATCGATAAGTTTGATTCACATTACGCTATGCGGAATTTAGCCAGGAAGTTTATACAATGAGACCTTGTGTGTTCTATATACCAGAAGCTGTGGGGCGAAATCGTATTTAAAGTTGTCTAAACCAAATTTTGTAACATTGAGAAATTTTGCCAAAGTTACTCTGACCTATAAATGTCCTAAATTTCGACATAAACGAGTTTAATGGCCTGATTAATCAATAGTTTGATGTATTGCGCCTCAAATTGGGCATTGCATTCGGAATGGCAGACTGAAAATTGATACAGACATTGTGGCATAAGCTATGCATGTGGGAACCTATCAAAATTTCCCAACCAATTAATCTCTCTGTCGCTCGGCATCAATTCTAATCATGTTCTAGTTAGTAGTTAAAAATGTTAAACATCCCACATTAAATGTGATGAGGTAGAGCATAAAATGTTAACAATTCATTTGGGAGTTGAAAGAAAAAATGTGCAATAAAGCTAATTTATTAGATGGGCATTTTTCATCCAGAACTATACATCATTGTGATCAAGAATGGGACTTTTTACTGGGAAAAATGGGCTTCTGTTGTATAATTTCAACGTCTCAGCACGTTGATTCATTCACTTGCATGTTGTCTGATGTTTGAACAGCCGTGCAGACAAAGGAAAGCCACTTTTTCGGGGCCACGCAAGACATTTTGGAATCACTTTACCCACTATTATATCCGCCCACTCGCTGGGTACACAGTCAGGATGGGGTAATGTTCTGCCATGTACGGTGTTCCAGTGATAATTTCACACCTGGTTAGCGCTATTGAATAAATCATTTGTATGCAAAGTTCTTAAGATGATATATCGCCGGGGGAATTGGTAATTAGGCCCGGTCTCTCGCAGTGGACAGAGCATTTTTGGGTATTCGCACGAGAGAGGTGCTCTGCATCATCGGGACAGGGTGAAAGGCTTTCTTGCGATTAATCACTGGGAGTGAAGGTTCCTGCCAGATCGATTTTTTGCCTCTCACCGCTCTCAGAGTGTCTCTTCACCGTCGATTTTTGGGGGAGATAAGGAATAATAGGCTTTTCTGGGCGCACAACCTCAGGCGGAATCCCAACACTCACGACCATATATCACACGGGAGCGATATAAAATTTATCACACACCCCCCGCCCTCATCCTGGGCGCCCCTCTTTATACACACGAAAATAATTAATTAGTGCTCCAAGTCTCGTCGTGAAATTGAATGAGGCTGAAGGTGAAATTAAACATTGACTCTCCTCTGTCTTTTGCAGTGACTTGGAGGAAAGCCCAACTTGAGGGTGACTCGGGATCGAGTTAGGGACTTTCAGAGCGACAATCATAAACTTTTGACTGACAAAGTGCGCGATGGCGGTCAGCAATATCGTGTGTGAATGGCTGAAGGCGCTCGGTCTGGGCCAGTATGCGGAGAGCTTCCTGGACAATGGGTACGACGACCTGGAGATCTGCAAGCAAGTCGGCGATCCCGATCTGGACGCGATCGGCGTGGAGAACCCCCAGCACCGCCACAAATTGCTCAAGTCGGTGCGGCAGCTGCGCGAGAAGGGGGCGGCCAGTGTCTACTTCATGCTCAACGACCCCAATGGCCTCGCCGAGGGACTGGAGAGCATCGGCGGCAGAGAAACCCCACCGGCAACAGAATTGGAAACACTCCTGCGCCAGCAATTGCAGACCGATTCCATCCGATTGACATCCCATCCATATTCCACGCCGGTGAGTGGTCTCAGATTAATTCGCTTTGCACAGTGCGAGGCACTTTGCTCTAGACACACATCAAAATCATTTCATGAGGGGATTTGTGCATGTCCAGTCTGGCCAAATGGGGAAAACTGGATGCGATGGGCTACGAAATTTCACCTATCGATTCAATGAGTGACCAAAATTGGCTTTGCAGTCATCAGATCTTATATTTTCCGAGATGCCTCACTCGGTTAAGGTGCACTTAAATATTCTGACTTGAAAGCTGATGTCTTAAGGCAATATAATTCCTTGCAAACAATCCAAACACCATGATTAGCGGCTTGTTTGAGGAATTTTTACGGAAAGAAACGGCGTAAGAAGGGTAGAAAAAGTGCTCCAAAGGTGTTTTACCCTAATGGGCAACATAATGAGCGTGCTAGAGTTTTCAGGAATTAGTAATTCGCATCTAAAAGTGCACTGGGTACTGTTCGTGCCATTTTTGGTGTGGGACACCCACGAATACGGTCTTGTAATTAACATTCGTGTCCCTCTTGCGCGAATTCCAGCCTTGTTGCTGAGAGAAAGAAAACATATTCTCACAATTGGACTCCTGACATTGGCGGCTATTGCAGAATTATATGTTATTACCCGTTTCAAGAGAGCGAGAGAGAGAGAGAAATCCGGTTTGATTTCTACAATTTCGGCCACGCTCGGCGGTCCAGGGGGAGAAAAGACAGGTTGGCATGGCATGGCGGCGGAATTAGGTAAATAAAAAAGGTAATTTTACGTGATGGGGCATCGGGCGCGATTCTTACGTGCAATAAAATGTAATTTAATCATTTCTTCCGCTCTGCACGATTGTTCTTCGGCATTATTGTCGTTTTATTGGTTTTGGGTCTGGACGCGCAGTCGAGAGAGGGCTCCTCTTCCACTAATTATGATGCCTCCATTGTAGGGATTTTGGTAGTCTGACGCTATCAGGGGAATTCAAGCAATTTAGATAAGACATTGTTTTTACGATGGGCTCCCCTCGAAGTGCACCTCACTCTCTTCCAATCTGCCTCTAAAGGAGATGAAATTTAAAAAAGGGAATTTTCGACATAAAATTCCCCGCTGTCTCTCACATACATCTCAGGAATGTGCCATGAGCACTTCAAAGGACAGAATACATCCCCTCCTTTTTGGATTGTTTGCGCAAAATACACAAAAATATGTCACAAGCATCCGTTTGAGGGCTCCTTCCTTTTTTCACCCGCCTTTTATTGCTCGATAAAGACGACACTGTACCGGAAGTTATGCATTGAAATGCCCATATTTTCATACATTCTACCAAACATTTATTGTTCAACCCCTGTCAGAAAATCGATGATCTACACATAACTTCTATCCCACACACTTTTTGACCATATTCGTGCCTCCACATAATTTTTTGGCAACCAAAAAACTTGCCGGGTTATTTAAATTCGCAGACTTTTTATTTTATTTTTATACCCAGAGTTTTTATGGACGGCCATAGAGAGGAATGGCGAGATAATACAAGTTACGAGGGAAAACAGTGAAAATATGCTAGTATAGTTTTGCAAACAGACAGACCGTATTTAGATAGTCTATAAAAATTCAAATTTCTAGTCTGGAGATCATAAAGCATCTTCATGGTAGTCGCAGAAAGATGGAGTATAATTGCAACCGAATAATGTCCACGAAGACGTGTGTGATGACTTTGTCAATCTCTATTCACTCTGACAGTTATTGAATGGGCGGAATTGAGTTAATGTTGCATGTTAACCTTTCTAGACCTACAATTTAAAAATTTATAACTTTCCAAACATAACATTTACACGGAAAGTGAGGACATAAAAGTGTCAGTAAAACATACAAATAAATTAAGAAGAATACAGTGAAGGCAGCGCGAGTGTTGTTTTATTGTGTCTAATTGGGCTTTAATACCTACAAGAAATTCCCCTTTTTGCCCCAGGTAGCGCTCATTTATTTTACTTCACCTAATCATATAGAATTTGAGACGATAATTGACTCCTTTGACTCCACCATCGATTTCCTCTCGCCCAATATAATTGCCGCTCTCGCGATGAAAATGAACATTTTGAGAACTTTTATGTGGCGATAAATGTCTTAATTTTCTCGTTAATTCATTTACACTGTGAGGATGAACAGTGCCAAGTGAAAGAGATTCCGTCGTGAAAGGGAGTGTTGTACTAAAATAATTAAGGTAGAAGAGGCTTTATCAATCTGGCGGTGGGAGAAGTTTGCAAAATCTCTTTGTCGGTACAAGAGAGCTCTCCATATTACCATTTAATGAGATGATGTGAGGAATTGCGAAAAAAGAAAACTTTTAATGGACTTTTTTTCCCTTCGCAGCGCAAAGTCGCTCGGGTATCAGTAAATTATCAAAAGTCGTGTCGCCTCAATCCAGCATATTCCGACATACACTCATAAATTTGTTTGTATGTTATTAAACTCGGTGCGGGATTTGGAGATTTGAGGCGGGATCGGCGAACACGAATTTCTCGTGGCAGCAAAATTTCCACTACCTCGGCCGAGGTCTGTATCAAATGCCGAAGAATCTCGCAAGAAGTCAGTCATGTTCCTGTTAAATTATTATATACAAATTGATTTATGACCTGCCAACGTGAATTGAGAAAGCTTTTTCATGTGATGAACGCCAATTCTCTCCCATTTATGTATTTGTCAAGTGTATTTATGCTCTCATGCCTTTCCCCCTCATCACGCACTCAATGTGATGATTCTCGAGAAAATGACATTCCTCCGTTTGGGGCACAAGATAAGGAGAAATGTGTTCTGCGTTGTAATAAAAAATATTATTAAGGTCATAACACATGTGTACGAACTGTCCTGACGCTGTTGCCCAAAATCACGTGCATTTAAAGGCATATCAAATAATTTACTGCATTAGAACAGAGATTTCTGGGTTTTTTTTTTGATGAAATTGATTTGAGCTCACATAAAAAGCACTTCGCTGAATGTGTAACTCTGGAGGTTCAGGGCACATCGTGCAGAGCAAGTCTGTGTACGAGAGAGCCAACACGGTTAAAATCATCATTATGCAAATGCTAAAAAACTCCCGGTGGTAGAAAAAAGGCGAAAGGAGAGCAGAAGAAGTTGAAGCACTTCCATGTAGGATGTTTTGTTGGTCTTCTTGCGGAGGGATAAAAATGATTTCCAGATGGTGACACGAAAAAGCTTCTATGATTCCTCGTGTCGTGTCATAAATCTCATTTTCCTAATGCCCATATACATAGCGGTGGATGAAATATCCTCCGTCATAAATTAGCACTATCCCCTTAGGAGTAACCAGAAATTTGTGAAGTCAATTTATGGAAAAGGGGGAGGGAGTGAGAAGAGTCGCCGAATAGACCATAATAATTCAATAAATATCCTTCACGGCAATATAATTCCATTATTAAAACACCATTCATAATTTGTCACTGTGCAGCCAATATCATTCAGGATTACCGTGAGACTGTGTGGAAGTTGTGGAGAGAATGAGCACGATTTCATGAAATGATCAGTGAGATTTGCTGCCGATGCTGTTTCTGACGAAAAATCATTTATTTTCCCGTGACGTGACGCATTTTTGCCGACTCTCTCGTCAGTCGACATGTGCCAGTGAATAAAAATTGCCCCATGGAAAATATGACAATTCCTCTCATGTCACATTCCTCGTGTGCAATCTACCCGTTTGTGTGACGAATAATGCGAAATAATTGAGAGGGTCACATCGAGAAGATCCTCAATGAAAATATAATTCCCTGAGTCTGCAAAAGGGTGGTAAATTTAATATAAGATTCCCATTCTCTCAGTTCATTGTGGGTTGTGCCCACAAATCGTCCCAAAATTGGCTGAAGCACGAATTGAAAGGTGTTCTTCAAAAGGACTTTTCAAGAGATACACACACACAATCGAATTTGTGAGACGTCCGAGCATCCTTCAGGTCACTCATTCGTGACACAAAGGGTTTCGACAGTGAGTATCACTTTCTGTGGGACTTTTCGGCCACTCATGAGCGGTTTTGTGAAATCTACGACCCATTCTTTGGCTCATGATTAGATTAGAGAAATACAAACCCGATATTTTTCACAGAAGAATGGGGATAGAATGTCTCTGATTGAGTATGTGTGATTCAACAGATCATAAATTTAGGATCTAAATATATGAAATGTCTCATTTATTTTGTATTAACTTTTTGCGGAAATTACCTCAGAGCGTAATACCACATGTTCCATCTTTCAAAGTCGGAGCTCGAAAGCAATTTCATCCGAAAACGTCAATAAGGATTAGGATTAAGCATTTGTGAGACGCACGAATAACGGGAGAAATATTTGCCGAGGCAAACCATGTGTATTAAAACAGCAATGAAGTAATTCATCAGTAAATTTCCCGGAAGCAATTTTACCGGGGAAAAACATACAGCGTCAGCATAAGGAAATTTCGTTGGGATTTTGATGAATTGAGGGCTTTCACTGGGCTCGTTTGCCCTTTAATTTAGCACGTGAGCAAGGGGTTTTTCTGTGGTGGTATATTTTTGTGAGGTGAAAGAAGAATGGGTATTGAGGCTATCGAAATGAAATTACTTAATTTAGTGATAAGAAACTCACCGACAAAAGCGGAGTAATTTTTGGGGACAATATTGTGTGGCGGCAAGAAAACGCCCCCATAGAGAAATATCATCTGAGGGGAGGGATGAATGGCGAGAGGACAAGATGTCTATTTTCTTCATCGTATAAGGAGCTCATCACATTTATCTGCTTCATACAGAAGACGGAAATCCTCCCATGGATATCTTATTATTTATTTTCCTCCGCTTCCATCCTCTTTTTGCGGCCTCACACACATGCTATTTCTGTTGAAGCAAAATTAATGTTTTCACTCAAATGGGACATCCAGTCGAATTAACAAATGGTAGGTTCTTGTTGTTGCGGCCATACAAATTGCGCCTCATGTTCCCATAGCAATTTTGTACTTTGTCTGACACTGTATCATGCTGTCGTTTTCAG